CACCCTAAACTCCTATTTAGAGTAAAGGGACTCTCTTGTCCAGTCCTTCCTTCACCTCTGATTCTGCGGGTCTTTTGCAAGATGCCCTGCAATAGAGTTCGGGTTTGTTTGTTTTTTCCTCCTTCTTGAAACAACCGCATTTGTCTCTCCTCTATTTGGATTAGGTTGGTCTTAAAACAGTAGATTCCGTCATCGGCAGCAGGAAGAGCTGCTTCTTCACCTGCTGTTGCACTGAACTGTGTCCCTTCTAGTTCTGAGATCACAACCCTGAAGGCTCCAACCTTGAAAGTTTCATCCTAGATTGCTCCTGAAAACCCTTGTCACACAGATAAGGAGCACAGCTCAATTCTATTCACATACAGAATAGCAGCAAATACATCAAGCTTCCGTTATACCCAACACCTTGCACAATTAGCACTGCCTAGAGAAAGCTGATTTCCTTCTATTCAAGAAGGAATCAAGAGCTGCATGCCCTTGCAAGCCTTCTCAAATACACATATGAGTCTCCATTCTAACTGGTGAAGTTTAAAAGTAGATTTTTTTTTAAAGCCCCAGTTCATTTGCTCTGTAGGATACTTTGACAGGGATCACACATTACTTAAGGGAATTGGACTGTAGGAAATCTAGGCACTTACTGTTATCTTACTTCCTGCTCCTTAAAACCAGAAGTTAGGCAAAATTTGTTTTAAGCTCTTGATACCTGACAGTACATTCTCCTTTCCAAGCCTGGTTGATACAAACAAAATTTAACACAAATCTTTCTACGGCACATGGGCATCTGTTTCATGTACTGGGGCTTACAGCTTTGCATTCCAACTTAGAGCATAAGTGCAAAAAAGAAACTAAACAGGTGGCTCAAGCTATAAACAGCCCTGACTGGGGACCCACTGCATGGTCTTCAAACTTGTATAACAGCCATGCTTTGCAAAGTGGCATTTGAGAGGCCGTGACAGAGCTGGACAAAACAGTTCCCTACGACTAGCCATTCTTTACTTTTTTGAACTCTGAACTTTTAGTCAACATTTGGGAATTTACTTATAAATCTGATTACCTTTATAATCTGTTTCCTGGTTCCTGTGCCCATACTGTTGGCAACCAAGGAATTTGCTGGAAAAGATGACTTTTCCACTGGCTCTGTGTGTTGAATTTTGTTGGTACAAGGCCAGCTGCTTGTAGTATTTAACGAGAAAGCAGGGAAAGGTCTTTGAAGATTTATATCCAATGAATCTCTAGTTTCAAAGGTTTTCATCCATGACCGAGTCTTGAAGAGAAGAGAACACACAGAAACTTAAATACTCTCACTACCTCACTCATTAAGCCAAAAAGAACATCAAATGTATAACTGGAGAATGAAGGCCATCTTCCATCATCTTTTTCCAAGCTTCCCTTCTCTGTCTCTTAAGCAGTTTACTCAGAGCCATTTTAGCTAGATGTGGAGCAGTGTGGAAAACGCAAGCCAACCCTATTCTTGCACAGACTGAGGAAGCGGCTGGAGTGTTTATACAGAATAACAAGAAACTTAAGAAAATTTCAGTTTAGTTCCTCACTGCCTGAAAAGAACAAAATTGTGGCAACAGATAAATAGCAATCACAAAGCACATGCATGAGAATACAAAGCAAATGAGGAGAAACCACATTTAAATGTGTTATTACATTATAAAAATTTAGTTTGTCCTCAGACCTTAAACCCTTACTATGTCATAATCTGCAAAACAAGATGATTATTTTTTGCTTATGGTACTCATATCCCACCCAGGAAAAGCTTCTCAGATTTGATGTGAGCTTTCATTGTCTCTGTTCACACTTCTAATATTTTACTACCAAAAGTACTAAAGAATGTGCATTGAACTGAAATATAGCAATTATCTTTAGTATACACACATTCAGAAACATTTCATGTACTCTAGCCTCTTTTATGGTTCATGCTGCAAACAGATTCCGACTTTTTGGGTTTTTTTTTTTTTTTTAATACAATCAACTTGTATTTTCTGGTTTTGCTTCTCTATTTCCCTTATTATAAAACCTGTGTTAGGGTACATACGTTTCCTAAGGAGCGATCCAAGGAGCCCAGTACTTCATTCCAATGACAGTAAAGCCCAGACTGTTTTTCTTCTAATTTCAAAGCATGAATTTCAGACTTCAGTTCTTTCAATCGATCTTCAAATTTTTTGCTCTTTTCTATGTAATCTAACCTGTAGTCCATACATTGGAGACAAAAAAAACTTATTAACATGACAGAGCTCAAGAACAGGTACGTGGAGAAGGAGGACAGAAGTAATTCTTTGCTTCATTTTGCTTTTTTAATAGGCAAAATCAGATCTGGCACATGTTGGCCTAACTTCCCCTGGCCCACTGAAAAGGGGATTTGCTGCCCCATCCCTCAGCACTCACACATTTTCCAACTCTACCAAGAACTGCTTTCTAGACCAGCAAAGCAATACTATCCCTCAACACTAGAGGGAAGCTTGTATCCTCTCACATGCTGTTACTCAAGCATAGTACTTTGCCCCCTACACAACGCTCTCTAAAACAACAGGGTTCTGGGCTTGTTATGGCTTGATGCCACAAGAATGCATTTTCTCTGTGTAAACAGAATCTTACACAGATATAAACTGCACCAACTCAGTAAAAGGCCTCCAGCCATATTTACAAGTAGGAGGCCATCCTGAATTGTTAGAAGGGTGAACTACGAATCCCAGAGATTCTTTCTGTACTTTCCAGCAGTAACACGTTCTCATTTATTTACACTATGAGCATACTGATACCTCTCTCTTTCTATCTCAAAGGACAGTCTCTTGAGGTCGATGTCTTTCAAATCCAGCTTTATGGACCCTTTGTCAAAGTTGGCATCTCTGGTGTCACTTGGTGAGTATTGCGGGTACTTGACCATGTGCTAAAAGAGGCAATACAAGCACTGACAATAAGATTTGATTGCTTCTTTCTTTGGTTATTTCCCCAGCTTCTGCACGAATGGCATGCTGTGCCATTTCATAAGGTCTCCATAGATTCTGAGTTGCGCAGAGGCTACTACAGCCCTCCCCCTCTACCTGAGTGGCCCCAGATGGACTGCTGAAGTCCACAACCTACAGATCCAAGGACAGAGAAATAACCTGGCTGCAATGTTCCTTCTCTACTGCAGCAGAAAATGGATGTCTATTCCCAGCAAGACTGGAGCAGAAGAGGGAGTTGGAGCATGCAGCCTTGACACTCCCTTCTTCCTGGAGACAATTTCATCTCTTTTGCCTGAGGAGACTCACGGGCCCTTCACAGGCCAGGCCGACACAGCAGGTTCAGTACAACCCCCTCCATAAAGTATTGCCCCACTGAAACAGCCACATAGAGTCAGTACTAGCCACAAATGCTGGGAAGACAATCCCTGCCCCCTAAATCCTGGCACCAGTCCCAGTCTGCATGAGTTTGGGGTTTTTCGGTTGGTTTGTTTGTTTTTAAACTTTTCTCTTCCTCATGGTCCTGATGCACTGACATGAACAAATACAACCTCCAACCTGGCTACACTGGGCTCAAGCACCATTTGGTCTCACAGGTGTTTGTCCCACAGCTGGGGGGATTGCCACTACTCAGCCTGACTGGGGCTACAGATCTAAAATCAATAGCCAGTTATTCCCTGAGATGAAGTGATGCCCACTGGAACAGAAACTTACAGGATAATTAAGCCTGGTTATGTCTAAGAGTTTCTGCTTTGCTTTCCGTTCAGCCTCTCTGGCTTCATGCAGGTCCTGTTTTAGATGCTCTGCTTCCTTGGCTCTGTAAGACAAATATCCTGACATGGATGGTGGATTTTGAGCATAAAGTAACACACGGATGTCAGCTATGCACCCCACTAGTTTCTGGAGAGCAAGACCTATTACTCTGATTCCTTTCCCCAGTAATATTTGTGGTAGGATGGTCACATGAGGAATGAACTGGACAGACCATGACACACGCTCTCAAGGACAATCCTGCATGAACTGGCTGAATTAATGTTTTTCCTACTCCTAATTTCCACAGGCTCAGCTATGTCCTGCTGATACAGATTCCCCAGGCTGTCAGAGATCCTCCCTGAGAAGGAGAGAGGTGCAATATATCTGCTCTTTACTTTGGCAAGCTCTTTGGCAGTATCCTAAAACAAGCAAAGGCTCTCAATAGCAAGGTTAAACATCCTCTGTTGACACTGGTCTGCTCTACATCTTCAGGCAGCACGGAGTTATGGAACATGCAAGCCCCTACAACATGGTCTATACACATAGCTCATAATCCACACAAGCACACATGGTTTATACTTTTCAATGATTTGAAAAGGCTGTAAGAGAACACACCTTGGTACTAATGAAAACAGTCTCATAACTCCCAGGGTACAGAGACGGTTAAATTTAGCTAGCTAGGTAGTCAGTGCTGTTTTGCTAACGCTAAGTAGAAAATGCTTCCGCACAATATTTGTGGATCATTAATGAAAAAGATCTCTAAAGCTGTCTGATCCTCTGTAAACTCTTATTGACCTGAATCACAACCACCAGGTTCAAGGTGGAACAAACAATATGCAAGAAAACTTAGTCACTCTGAAGCATCGCTTGGGGAAAAAACCCTTCCTTCTGGGCTGAGCTCTGCAGCAACCAGCACTTTCTCCACCCAGGCATCCCAGTAGGGCCCAAATAATCCCACCCAAGTAAATCCAACCTCCGGTCGGATTCCTTCACCAGCTTCACTGCTATCAGCTCTGCCTCCCTCATCTTTTGCTCCATCAGGCGTTTCTCTTCCTTGGTTTTCAGAGCTGTGATCTCCAGCCTCTGTCGCTCTTGCTCAGCTTCTGCAGCATTCTGGGCCAGCAGTTTGGCCTCCTCTTCCGCAATCTGAGCTTTCTCAGCCAGCAACTCTGCTGCTTCCTGGGATCGGAGCTAAGAAGAAATAGTTTTTCTTAGTTACTCTGTCTAGCAGATACAAAGTCACCCATGGAGTCAGTCAAGAAGAGGACATCTTACCCCAGCAGATCAAGAAATAAAAACGTTAATCCTTAAAATAAAAATCAAAATAAACAATTACAGGGTCTGTTCTTTCTCCTCTGCTCCAAAATTGCCTAACTTCCTTCCTGCTTCTCACCTCTATAAAGCAAGGAGAGATTCACTCAGCGTTGAATAAAGATGCCAACCAAACACTGACAGAAGTTACCCCTTTCAGTTGCCAGTGCCATATGCACCATGCCCCTTTCCCCCAACTTCAGCTCCCGGTGTTGCATGCATTCCTTCCTCTCTGCCTGTGAGCCAAATACAGGGAGAGCAGAGTGGTTCACAGCAAATGGAGACTAGGCAGATCAGACTTCTCCCAGGTAATCCAACATGCCCCCTCTCCCACTTGCCAGAAACTCCTGCCTTGCCTAAGCTGCAGCTCCTGCTGTCTCATGGGAGCCATAAGGAAAAAAAGGTTTCCAAATCAAGAGAGCCCGTCAAGCACAAGAACATTCAGACTAACGTGTTACTCACCAGGGCCTCATTGGCTTGCCTGGCTTCATCTTCCAGCTGGAAAAGACGCCTTTCCAGCTCTTCTTTGGCTCGCTCTGCTTCTTCTCGGAGCTGCTTCTCCCTGGCCAGCCTTTGATTCTCCATCTGGAAAGAGAATGAGCAATACAAACTTTGTGGGCTTGCAGCAGAATCTCATCTTGGCCTGAGGCAGCACAGCAAATGAGTCTAATGAGGAACGGACTGCTCTCCGGCTGGTAGACTGCCATCCACCAGAGATAACGCTGAAGCAACCTGCACTTGACAGCACTCAACTCCACTAACTGGTAATACTAGTTATTTCAGACTGTTGGGGAAAACACTTGGATTGGTCTGCCATGTACCCCAGATCTTTGTGGAACGGAAGAGGTGATCACAATCATCACTTACATCCTCGGATGCTGCACACACACTAAAGCTGTTCCCACACTCACTCCTGCTGCACTTTCTCACCTCCCATGCACGTATTGATGCAATGCATGGACAGCAAGGGCACCAGACGGAAAAACAATCAGTATTTTCTGCAGCAGAGGAGTAGGAGGAGTCTACCTTTTTTCTAGCTTTTTCTTCCCTGGCCTGTGCTTTCATTTGCTGGATCTCTATTGAGTCCACTTTTCTTCTCCTCATAAATAGGTCGTGGTTTCCAATGCACAACTGCAAAATCTGGATAGGAAAAGCAAAGCAAATGTGATTGTGATATACTCGTGCCCCAGCCAGGGGGCTAAGAGCCCCACAGAGGCCTCACAGGACAGAAGCTGACGCTGACTTCAGCGCAAGTGCCGGCACTTGCTCCCTTTCAGGGAAAAGCAAGGCTCAGGGCAGGCTCATACCCAAGTACATAACAGTTTAGAAAAGTTCATAAAAGGAAGAGGGATTCTTTCTGTCCTTCATCTTTCTCTGGTTCTAATTTCCTGGGAAAGGAAAGGCAACGGATCTAGGCTAGAAATACACAGGAGGTAGCTGTGAGAACGGTCACCTGTGATGGCCATTCTACAAGCTCACTGAGAAATGACCCAATCCCATTGTTGGGTTAGGAAGTAGTTAGTGATGATACAGTTCAGTCAATTAAGTCCCTTCCTTGTTGCTTCTCCTGGAAAATGGGTAGTAGTAGCTAGTTAAGAACCCACAGCAGTCAGATAGGCAGATGCTGTAGTGGTTTTGCACCTTTCCATACACTACCACCTCCCAACTTTCCAGCATATGGATTTCCCTTTGCAACTTGGGCTTTCTTTCACATCTCGCTTTCTTCTCATCATCTTCCCAACAATCATTAGAGAGGACAAGCGTTCCCTGACTTCCTGGACAGAACAATCCTCAGGAGAACATGTTGAGCATCAGTGCTCCTGGCCTCTGCATGGGCTTCACAGGCAAATAAGATTCCTCATTCAGATATCACTCAGTATTACCAGGCTCTGTTTTAAAGAAGGAAAGTGATGCACTTACCAATTTGTTTACTTTGAGTTGTGAGGAAAAGAACTTGAAGACTTCTGCTTTTTTGTCAAGAGGCTTAATAGTTAACTGCACATCCAAGAGAAAAAAAGAAAGAAGAAATGAAGCACAGTAAAAAGGAGGAAAACTAAAGCTGAAGCTATTAATACTAATGCAAACTTTAGTTCATCTCTGCAACTCTCCAGGAAAGCACACATCCATGCCACATATATGGCGAGAACGAGGCAGAAGTGCTTTGCTCAAGAGAATCAGAACCAAGGCTGTTCTCTATTACACACGTTCCTCATCTGCTCTTGTAGCAGGCCAAGTTAGAAGACAAAGCTTCCCATAGACTCTCACCTGGGACCAGTTTGGGTGGTGGTTTTCATGATATTGCCACCTGTCCATTGGAAACTATCCTGACAACACTGGAACAATCACTGGTTTTTAGGAAACCAGAATACATCACTAATCCCCCAGAAGCTGTCATATTCTTAAAGTCAGGGGGATGTCAAACACCTCTCTCAATTAAAATTTCAGGTGTAAATAAAATGCATCACAAAGGCCCAAAGTATTTCCGTCTCTTCCTATCAGATAGCCTCATGGAGTTCCTGTTTTCTCAGATTTTCAGTCCCATCTCCCAAGCTGTTTTTAGAGGACATGAAGGGTTTTCATGCTGCCAGGTCAGTACTCAGTGTTTCACTTTTTATGTTGATCTCAGTTCAGCTGCATAACAAAAAATAGCTCTATTCTTTAAGATCCTGTTTTCTGTGACTCACAGGTTAGCACTCTATCCCTATAATTCATTTGCAATGCAATGTATAATTTCAGGCCATCTGAGTCATCAAGATCATAACGTACTATAGTTCATTTCACCCTGTAGGTAACAATCAGTTCAATGTATTGCCTGGCAAGGAGCAGGGTTGTGAATATGTCATTGAAAACAGTGGAGTTTTAATACAGGGTTGCCCAACTTCCCAACAATTGGGAATTAAAGCAGTTTATTCACAGACCAGAGGGGAAGTTTAATGTTATGCAAGGAAAGAAAACTGTTTGGAGGTAGAACTCTCCTGTAGGCTGCCCTACCTGATTTAATGTATGCACATTTTTAACTCTGGACAGTAAATCTAACTCTCAAGGAAGTGGGGGTGGGGGGGGGGATTGTTTTTGCTTGTTTGTTTTAAGACCCGCCGAAAGCAAGTAACAGGCTGTGCTGTCCTTTGGTTGTATCAATGTAGTTTTTCTGGTTTTGTTTTTCTGTTTATAGCCTTCCATGTAGCCACATCCCTTTCATCGGAAATGACTCCCAACTTCACCCACTCCCTTTTTACAAGTAGAAGATGGGCTTTGAAATCAGAGTGAAATTGTAATGGTGGGGCGGTGCTGAAGACTGAAATCATGCACTGAAAAACTCACAGAATTCAGGCATAAAACCAGACGTCCCTCTGCATATCTCCTGCCAGTGCACTTCAAACTTCATCTACAAGGACAGCTTCTGCAAGCAAAGCAGAAGTCCTCACGGGCCATCTGATCCCTGCTGAGATGAATGAAGCCAGCCATAGTGGCGTTTGTAATACATATCTTTCACTAAGAGATCAGAGCACTTGTTTTGCAGAGGTCAAGCAGCAGGGAAGGAACCAGAGCAGTGGATGGCACAAGTTTGGAGAGCCCAGAGCAGCCTTTGGCTCCTAGGGGAATTGAGGTTATACAGCACGTCTGAAAGGCAGGTCTGTTAGTTTTAGTTTTATAACTAACCTCCCTAAATTTTTCCCCAAAAATTGCTTAAACAGAGACAGCTATCAGCCTGTTCCAAGAATCCCATTCCACACCCATGCCCATATAAAAAGAATAATAGATCAGATTCATCATACCTCTTTCTCACTATAGGAAATGTTTCTGATAGCACTCCACTCAAATGACTTATTTGGAGAGAACCTGTTATTAATGCTGTAGATATGAATACCTTTGGCATCAACTCCAAGAAGGAGATCTGTATGGTTTTTATTTTGCTAAACAAAAAAGCACAAAATAGATGTCAATAAAGAGTATTCACGGTGACGCTTAGCCACAGAGAAGAACCACACTTATTTTAAGCTATTGATATTTATTTGTATTTTTAGAATATGAGTGTTTCTGTAGAACAGATTATGAATGTGGTCACTGCCAGCTAACAAACCCAGTCCTAAAAGTTGATTGAAATAGCGCAAACTTTTTATTCAACTTCTACCCATACCTACTATTACATACCCAGAGCTACTCAAGAGCTTTGACAGATTTTAGATTACTGTTTTATTCACCAACTCATTAGCAGGAAAGTAAACTGTGTGAGGGCAATCATTACACAGCCTGCCAGTGGCAAAGAAAAGCAGAAGCCAGGAGTCCCAGCTCTAAGCTCCCTAGAGGAATTTAAAATGACACTACCACACTCAACAGCAGTTGCAAATTGCTAAAATAAAACACTTACAGCAATGGGAAAGTAATTGACACCATACATTTCCAAATCTTGGGCAATTTTCAGGTAGTTCATCTCAGCTTCATCCCTAAAGAATAATGCTGTGATTACACCTGGAAATTCTCATCCAACCTTTCCCCTCCTAGCCGACTCTACCTTTCCCACTTAGAAAAGAACAGGCAATATGGTTCTTGGCACTTTCTTTAATTTTGCTGACTTGCTCTCAACAACATAAACAGGGTGATAAAAAACAGCATCTCTACAGAATAAAGACAGCAAACCTTTGCCTATTTGGATCTGAGTCATGTACAGTGCAATCTTATCCTTGAGGGTTAGCTTTGTCACTCCATTACCATCTCTTGAGACCTACTCCTCCATTGTCTTCTATAACATGAGGATATTTCCTTCAGGAAGGAGAGTTCATTGAGAAATAAATCCTGAACAAGCTCTAAATGGTGATTTGGGCAGAGTCCAAACGAAGGTGAGAACCTCCCACTGTTGTTCTCCCTCCAAGGCAAGACAACAACAAATCTTGAGGAAAAAATTCAGGAAAAGTAGCGCTAAGAAGCATCTAGAATAGCCAAAGACAAATTGAACTGAAGGAACAGGAAAGGCTGTCTCTGGGTGCCAACAACTCCTACTTCTTGTTTAATTGAATTTCCAGGCGTGCTGAACGTGTCAGAGGTAGCTGAACGTTCGCATGGAAAGGCACCAAAACTCATGGTCCTGGAACTACTATGCCATGTCTTTACTGTTTTGGTTACTTGCTAAGTACACTGACACCTTGCTGAGCCATGGCTTTCATCAGGTATAAAATATCAGATTCCTCCTTTGTTCTAGGGAGAGACAGGCCCGATTCTAGCCAGTTCTAGAAAGCCAGCCACTGCTTAAGGCAGACACACCAGCAACTCCAAGTACCTGATTCCCTTAAAAGACTAATCTCTCAGGGCTAACAACGTCAACACAGAGCTCAGAAACCTTCTGCAGGAATTTCTTTCTGCTGGCATACCAGGAATCTGGTGGGACAGGACTCCCTATTCTAGATATGCTAGGTCATGAACCTCAGCATGAGCTCTTAGCTTCTCTGGTCACTTCAAAGCAAGTCCAACTTAAAAGCACTTGGTGTCCTACACAAGGCGACACTTGGTACCCAGAATAAAGAGGGGTTCCCTCTGACTTAGGAATAAAGTAACCTATTAGAAGCATGACTTGGAGCCCAATATCTCTTTGCTCACTTACAAAAGCCAAATTTTACTGAAGACGGCAAATAACTGGTTACTGAAATACACAGAATTCTCAAAAAAAATGAGATGATTTCAATACCTGGCAATACCCCTGTGCTCAGCATACCAAGCAGTAATCTTTTCTTCCCACATCTCTGCCGTCAACTGATATTGCCTGAGGACCTACAGAGAAGGGAAGGAGCTTGTCTTGCTTTGAACATACAAATACACGTGCTGCCTCTCCCAAGGAATGTGAATACAGCAATGCAGTTCACAGCTCAGTTATTTTGCCAAGTTCAGGGCGAACAAACAAAGCTTCTAATACTCTAGTTAGTTCCACAGCAGTATCTGTGCTGCATCAAAGAGCTGATTCAAAGATTTGGTTTTTATACACAATAAAGACTTACCCTTTTGGGTAAAAGTTCGTCATGGGCTAGAAAGCCTGGCTCATGAAAATTCGGATCGTAGTCACCATACTGTCCCAAGAAAAGAAAAGATACTTCAGCTTACTAGATGCATAATGCTGAAGAATTTCCTGGTTGCGTAGTTTTTGTTGGATGTGATTGCCTGAGACAGATTTTCAGTTCTCCCATGTACAGGGCAAAGCACAAACAGGCTCCCCTCACCTCAACTGGCCAAAGATACTTCCAGCCTTTGTGCAATGCCTCTGGCTCCAGTGTAGCCACTAAGGTGGTCTGTAGCCTTAGGCCGAGTCCTGGCCTGATTCTCTTGGTAACTACGGATATAAAGGAATTTCCCATGACATCTCATATCCTCTGAGCTATGGACTAAGTTCAAGGGTGTAAGCTCATCCACTTCTACTGCATATTGGCAGGGCTGCTGCAGAGGGCCAGCCCTGCCAAGAACTTGTTTGCCTTTTGCCATTTTACGAGCTTGGCTCTTGGTGACAAGTAGTTCACTATGTCCTGAGAGATATCTAAAACCATCATGTCCTACCATTAGGTCAGGCAACCAACTGAGCTGAAGGTATCAGCACCTGCTGTATCCAAGGACATTTTTAAGAACAATAAGAAAAAATTTTAACCAGGAAAAACCTCATATTAAAAGGTTAGGTCTCCCAAACTGTGTAAAACAGTAAACAAACTTCTTCTCAAAATCCTTGTAATGCCTTGTAACTGCTTGTAATGCTTATTTTCCCTCCTGTACCTACACCTCCGTGAATGACCTACTTCTTTAACAACAAAGTTTAGCACTTTTGCACATTTTACTTACCACCATGTAAATGCATTCGTTAAAAAAAAAGTAATAAAGAGCACTGTTATTCCCAAACCTTGGCCTGAACAGCATAAGAAGCCAGTAAAACTGTTGCCTCTGGAGAGCAATAGATTTCTTCATCCAGTATCTGTTTCTTAACCTAAATTAAGAGAAAAATGGAGCATGTTACAGAAGGAGCTCAAAGTCAAGACTTACGCCAGGCTTGAAACGAAACTAGACAGGCCCAGACTATAACTTGGCAGCAAACATCAGAAGTTAACAGCAGCAACAATAAAACAGCATTTAGAAACACCGGAAATCTTTACTTAAGGTTACATTGAATGAAAAACCAAAACTTTGAAAGCTAAAGTGCCTTAATTCCAGGTTCACAGAAATGCCAGTCAGCTATCTCGCTGCACTTATATATGGAATCCTGAAAAAGTATGTGCTACAGAACACGAATTGTATTGTCTACACTTCACTATTTTGTCTTCCCCCCCCTGCTTTGAAATGGCCCTTCATGTCTAATTTATGATCATTAGGTTTTCCTAATGTTTGCACTGCACCTTGAATAAAGGTGTTTTATAAGAGCAAAATATTATCAGAGGTTACCTAAGAACTACCGTGAGTACTTTCCTGAAATGTCCTGCAAATGCTCCTTGCAGAGAGCAGAGGCTTCATTCAAGCTCACACAAACTGACCCGCATTTCCTGGCTTCTATGTTGCCAAAGGGTGTAAACGGACCCTTTATACTAAATTCTGACTGTAAACTATAGTTCTATAAATAAGCACGACCGCTAAGGAAATATTTGGATTTCAGTAAGACAATCCAGTGAAAATAAGGCAATCAACTGTTATATTTTCAACTGAATTATTATCAGTTTATAGTAAGAAGAACAGGTCTTTTCCATAAATCAGCAACAAATTTTTAATCTTGTGTCATTAGGATTTTTCCTTCTACTACCTTCATACTAACGGAATGAAACACCCTTTCTCATGCTGCCTTTTATTACCAACTCATATCCCAGAATGAAGCTATAGCAATTTTGCCTTCAACATTTAAAAAAGGGTAGGCGAGCTCCTCAGCTACTGCAAATCACCATAATTTCTTTGTATTCAGTGGCCCTAAATGGGCTACACCAAACAATGATCTGACCTACTACTTAGAAGGCTGCTAAAAACCTATACAACAAAACATGCAGTTTTGCTGGAAAATAGTTACCTTTACAACATGTAAAATACTGAACTTTTTAGGTCAGAAGGAACCTCTGGAGGTCATCTAGTCAAAGCAGGTCCAACTAGATCAGGTTGCTCAGGGCCCTGTCCAGCTGAGCTCTGAATATCTCCAAGGACAGAGACATTATATTGAAAATATTATTAGGATGTTTGCAAGCTTTCCAGAAAGTAAACCCTCAGTGAGAACAGACCTGCAATGCTCACAAGTCAACGTTGCAATATTGGAGAAGGAAGGAGAGCCCACAAAGGAAAACTACCTAATAGAGCACTGAAGCTATTCAAATATAGTGGTCCAAGTACAACAAAAATGTAAAGGCTTAAAAATAAAACCAGAGTGCAAACGGTAAAGTCTTTTAACATTCTTTCAATTTTAATAATCTACGGTGCTACCATGATCGGAGGTGTAATAGTTTGAGATGTCACTTGATTTTACATTTGCTGGGGTTTACCTTGAAAAACTAAGGGGGGAGGGGGGAACAAAACAATATTTGAGAGAAGCTGTGAATATAAAGAATTTAGCCTATTAACAAACACAAGATAAGAAAGATTTGCATATTGTACAGTCTTAAACACTTCCAAAATAGAAGAAAAATTACTTGAGATAATACTGAGCTATCTGTACAAATACAGTTCAAAAAGACACTATGAACTGAAATTAACCAAAGGAAGAGTGTTTCTTTTAAATTTAGCCTCTGGTGAGCACAGTATATGAACCTGAGTTATAGCGCAGGGAAAACTGAGCTGTAAAATGGAAAGAATGAAAAGATTTTTCTTCCAAATTGGAAAGCTGTGGCTTTCATACTCCATGGTACAAATCATATCTTTCAGAACTGAGACAAACTTAAGATAAATCCCATATAAATGTGTCTGAGTTTTTCAAAACCAATCTTACAAGGATGTTTTGTTATGCTCCTTTACAAAAGAGCAAATTATTTAATCTTTAAACAGATAAAATTTAGCTTCAGTCTTAAGTTTATTCACACATTTGGCAAAAAGCTGTTACGCCACATTAATATGTAAGGATCTGAATAGTCAGTAGAGCTGAAAACTGTAAGCATCCAGATGTCTGTACATGTTTTTCTTATTAGCATCCAGGTGCGATCTTAAGTTCTTATAGTCAGGAAACTTTGCAAGTTCAAATTTGTTTCTGTCTTGTTTTTCAACTTTGGAATGAGAAGAATTTGCTAATTGTATATCTGCCAGTCAAGACAGGTTCATGGAGAAAACAAAAAAGCAAAGGCAAAAAAATCAGGATTAAAAGATAGATGAGGAAGAGCTCTGCCCCTCTCATTCCTTTCCAAAATTAGCTTAAGAAACAAACGGCCAAGTGGTTAAGGGTTCTGGATGAAGTTCTAGCTCCTATATTAACCCTTGGAACAACAGCATTTCCCCATTACTTCATTAGCACCCCCCTCAAGAAAGGTGTATTCATTGTGTTTATTTACAGATGCAGACCAATTTTTCCTCCACGCATCCAGTCTCCTTGCACAGACAAGTACCAATGAAAGCTACCAGAAAGAAGCAACCCCTCAGAAAGGTGTAATTTGCAGAGGACTCTGCAGCAACTCAGGAAAGAAGCTGGACTGGCATGGATGTTGGAGCCGGCAGCTGACCAACGAGCGACCACTCAAAACTCCTTTTGGAACTTGCTAGATGAACACACCTACGTTTCAGGACAGATATCAAACTATATTACCTTTTATCCCTACAATCCATAATGCAGATCCCTGAAGGACAGGTTAGGGCGTCCTTGTTTCCTAGTGATTGTGCCTTCTACAGTCATACACAGCAAGATCTCCCAGTAACCACCCTGGCTATTTTTAGGAGCTCAGGAGTTTTAATTTCAGGGCTAGGCTGCAGTCACCAGTCCTGATCCAGCTGCAGCTGATCTGAGCAAAAAACCTATTGTCCCTAACTGCTTATCACTGTTCCTTCCCTTTTCTCCACCTTCACAACTGCCACCATAATTGCTTGTGTAGTCACTCCTTCACACAGTTCATCCATCTAATAACAAGTCTTTTCTAATCCTGCTCATTTTGACAGAACTGGGTTAGGGAATGGTTACACAAGAAGTTACACCAGCAAGTCTAAGAGGACAGTGATAAGGAGCTCGAGACCCCTCTTCATCCAACTTAGCTGAGGCCAGAGAGAGCAGGTTACCAGCTGTCCGAGGCTCAGGACAACTCTTGAGGCTGATGCAACAATGGCTTCACTTTGCACTCCTCACCACTGGATCAGTTAGGGCAGAAACCTTGAGAAATTCAGTCTCTCCCTTTTAAATTGCTTCAGAAAGATCACAGACATTTACTGCTACTCCGGTTATCAGAGAGAGGAGGACTAATAAGAGCAAATATGTAAAGTTTAGCAGAAAAGATGCAGTTGGGGTGAGTGAACCTGCTTGAGGCCAGACTGGCAACCCAGGAAGTTTGGTGTCAAAAAAAACAAACACCCACACCATGTTATGTTAACTCTAAAGTGGTATATTGATGGCCTAAATCTAACACAAAGAAAGAGGGAAATTTTCATAGACATTAAAAAATACAATACTAGTGACAAATGCAAAAAGGTAGAAGTAGCTCATAGTATTGTAATTACGTTAAGGAAAAAGCCTTCATGTCTGGGCAGCACTGGAAATAAAAGAAAAAAATAAATCAAGTCAATCTGAGATTTCTTATCCTCAGAGTGTGAAAATATCTCCCACAAATACTGCACTGTATTGTCTCACAGGACCAGTAAGGAGCGAGGCTACGGAGAAGAAACTGTTAGCTCATAGAAATACAACACAATAAGAAGTAGACGGATTTCAAGTTGTAGAGCAGTTCCAACCTATATAAAGTTTTGTCCTTAAATTCAAAACAGATTACCACCAGCCTTGCTGACTCATCTCCCTGACTCACACTCTAAACCCAATTAAAAAAATGGGAAGCTTGGTAAATTAAGGCCCCTCTGCATACCCACATGTACCCAAGAAATCTAATAATCAATTCTCCCTCCTTCAATAATTATGTGCTAAATCACTGCAGCATTCATAAAAGCTGTACTATGCTATCCCAACAAACTTTGAAAACATATTTTAAGTGCCTAGATATAACAAGTTACAGGTACAAGCAGAAGAGCATTCCATTCTCAGTCTGAAATATTAAAAATCAATAAAGCAGAGCAAAATTTGGGTTTTGTTTTTTTTTTTTGTTTTTTTTTTTACTTAAAAAAATCTTTCAGATCTAAAGGGGACCACAGAATCAATTTGCTTAACAGATCTGCTCTTTTGATCAATGTCAGGCCCAGGGCATAGAATGAACATCTCAAAAAATATTCATTTTTGCTGCCTTTCTTCTTCTTCGAAATAGAAGGTTCTTCAAAAAGTGCCAGCTTTGTACGGATAATTTTTTTTTAATATAGACTATTAGGAGCAAAACAAATCTGAAATATCCAGATGTGGAATTATCATCCAAACTACTAGGTGTAAAAGTCATTTTACATGATGCTACAGGTCCTAGCAATCTAACTCCCATTCCTAGCACAAACAGTAAGCAAAGCCATCAAGAGAACAAAACCTTGCAGAAGTTCAACATTCAATTTAACATCAAATAAAGCTGCAGCATTCAGGAGAGATGTTTGTATTTTAGAAAAGAAATTAGATATTTAGAGGGACATGTCACATGGCTAAAGCAGGCAGAGTCATTCTGAGCTTAACAGCTGCCAAGATCAAAGGCAAACTTAAAAAAATCTTTCAGATCTAAAGGGGACCACAGAATCAATTTGCTTAACAGATCTGCTCTTTTGATCAATGTCAGGCCCAGGGCATAGAATGAACATCTCAAAAAATATTCATTTTTGCTGCCTTTCTTCTTCTTCGAAATAGAAGGTTCTTCAAAAAGTGCCAGCTTTGTACGGATAATTTTTTTTTAATATAGACTATTAGGAGCAAAACAAATCTGAAATATCCAGATGTGGAATTATCATCCAAACTACTAGGTGTAAAAGTCATTTTACATGATGCTACAGGTCCTAGCAATCTAACTCCCATTCCTAGCACAAACAGTAAGCAAAGCCATCAAGAGAACAAAACCTTGCAGAAGTTCAACATTCAATTTAACATCAAATAAAGCTGCAGCATTCAGGAGAGATGTTTGTATTTTAGAAAAGAAATTAGATATTTAGAGGGACATGTCACATGGCTAAAGCAGGCAGAGTCATTCTGAGCTTAACAGCTGCCAAGATCAAAGGCAAACTGGGGTGAAAAGGGACTGGGGTGAACACAAAGAATTCACGGTTAAAAAAAATATCTGTTCCTGACCTGAAGGAAGAATAAATGCTGCGTAATCTCCTGTAACAACTCCTCTTCTGCCTTCTCTGGATAGAATTTAGCCAAAAAACGAAAGCTAATGGGATCATCTTTGGGGATTTCTTGATCTAAAACCTGTTTAAATAAAAATAAAACAATAGCGGCAGGAAAAACATACAGAAGTGTCTCCAAATAATATTCCAGAGAAAAATGAAAAAGCAGCTGATAATCCACTTAAAGTAGCCTCTTCATATTTTAGTAAGGAGGACAACGCTGAGCTATAATGCAATAAAAATCAGTACATATAGTGGTGATCACTGGGTGACACTCCAGGCCAAATGTTATGCAAGAGATCTGACTGCATAACATAATTAAATTCTTTAGTCTTAAAAAAGATACCATCTAGCATTACGGGTTGTCACTTAGCACACATTCCTTTAGCTCCTGAGCTTAAAAAAAAAAAAAAAGTAACTCTCAGAAGTAGAAATTGCCAGGTTGCTTTTTTTCCCCCCCTCCTTCATTTTCTATACCTTTTTGTCCATCTTTAACCAGGTGCACATTCCTTTTATTGTGTACTGCAAGCCAAAGAACCAAGTCTCCCTTAAACCAAGTGCTCGGCACACCAGATCAAACAAGTCCTTTCCTTTCCACTTCATCTAGAAGAAAATAAAATTAAGCAAAAATGGATTTTTCTTCTTGAATAAATTTGCTACATTTTAGGCAAAGGCGGCTACCATTTGGCTTTCTCCTATGAACTGCTTTATCTCACTTTTAGCTTTTCAATGACATATACCCACCGCTGTCTACCGCAAAGGAGCAATAGTTAGGTGTTCTACCTCCCCTTCCTCTCCTCCTCACTCTCATTCACAAAGTAGCTGTAGTCATTTAAACATAGTAGCATGTACTTCATGAGGAAAGGGAACGAGGATTGCAGGCTCCTAGGTACGTGGCAAGGCTTTATTAATGTTTGTAAAGTCTTATTCAACAGTCTATATAAATTGGAAAGAGAGGAGAGGAGGCCAGGGGAAATTAAAGGAGTGTCAGGGCACAGAGGAGTAGAAATGCCAAACAATCTCAAAGAAAAGCCATCTTTCACATACCTCAGTTACTTCAGTGGAACTAAGCCAAGCCTTTATGCTACTTTGATTTAAATGAACAGGAGTCTGTCTTCTAGGAGCAGGATTTGGTATACAGTACAATCAGGATTTTTTTGTATCCAGAAAAAAAATAGTGATCTAATCTGATGGGGCAGATACAGAATGAGAGTAATTTACTAACCCAGCTCCACAGAGCACAGAGATTTGATGAAAGGTCCTGAATTTCATACATACGCAATGTCTCATTTTTCACCGAAGAGGCTGCACATCTGTTTCTCCTATTTGGCTACGTGCTAAAAGATGATTTTGTCTAATCGCATGGGCAGCCACTGAGAACTTAATAGCAAAAAATGAATTTCTGGGCAATATTTGGATGGAAAGTAGGAAATCATCCCAGGAGAGTAGCAACATTTGGGGAGAAGGGAAGGATTGCAAAGGAAGGAATATATCAAACTGGATTTGTTAACAAGGACCCTGAGCTCTAAACCATATTTCCAAATCCTTTATTTTCATGACTCTGCCTTCAGGTATTCTAGATCAGTAAGGCACAGAAATGCACTACCTGTAACTAGCATATTCTGTCACTGAGGGACTTCATACACGAAATACTAAATCCCCCACAAGACAGTCAAATCTCTCATTAGAACTGTCTGTCTCAGTGGACCTGTTTTCTAGCTCCCCTTCTCAAGCTAACAGTATATCTTTTTTGCTTCTGTTGAATGATTAGGATTTCATCAGCCACACAGCTCTCTCTCTTCAATAGTACAGCCCAAATCCTTTAACAATTGATCAGCTGGTATATTTGTGCTCTTCCATATTTTTCTGCAGTCATGATTTCTCTACCCAATTTACTAGATAGTCATAACTAACAGAAGATGAGCTAGCCTTTCCATTCAGATTGATCATTTTTCTCCTCTGCCTAGAGGAAATGAAAACCACAGTCATTCTAGCTAAAGAAATAAACTGGAGTTTACAAATGGTAAAATCACATTTGAAGAAAATTCCCCAGATCAACTGAGCATGGAAGTATCATTTAGTAAACTACTTTACAAGCAACATCTTCGGACGACCTCTGGTAAGATTTTCCTCATTGACAGTGTCTTAAGGAGTCATGCCACTTATAAAAAAAGAAGTCTATGTGGAAATAGGCATACTTACAAACAAGAAGCCCCGCATCACACACTGTGATGCAGTGTGACACATTGTTTAGGAAAATAATGGATCAATTTTAAGGCAATCCATGAACTGAGAATTTCCATCCCAAGATGCAGGCCTCCAATTTGTTTTTTTAATAGTGGGACCGCCTTCAAATAACTTAGGCTAACACTACCCAACCAAAGTACCAAACTACTGATTTTATAGCTAGATATGGAAGTTAGAGCACAGTGGGGAACTGTTCTCCTAATTCACTACTTGGTCTCTTCAGTGATTCCATTCCTTTATTCACAACTACTGTCCAGCACCTCAACTCCTCCTGTGGCTTTCCACAGAATTTTGAAATATCTTTTAAATATCTTTTATCTCATGCTAATACAAAGGACAGTCTCCACCTTTCTAGCATTCTGCTGAGGACTCTTACCTCACAGCTGAACTCCATTTCAGCATCCACTGTTATGATTTTGACTTTAAAAGTCTTTGGTTGTTTCTTCTTCAGGCCTCGGATGGACATATTTTTTAGCTTATGATAGCCACACCTGAAATTGAATGTGTGTTATATTTAGGGCTGGAAATTCAGTAACATTTTTTTGGCTAAGTTCCAAGTCAGGACGAGTCCAAACTTGTACAACAGAGTCATCCTTGAATATGAGCTGTTTCTATACATGTTAAGTGCCCAAAAAGATACTCAGACCATAAACAAAAGGGGAGTTAAAAGAATTTTTTATAGTTTAGCATGAGGATTTGCTCTTTAAAATCAATTGTTCCAGAAAATTAATTCCCATTTTTCCCCTCTCGGATCTCTGCAAGCACTGGAATCCTATAGTACTAGAATGAATCTCATTCAGACCTTATATTGCAAGATCCTGGGGTCTGCCTCTCACTACGGCTGAGGACATCTAGGGATCCTCCAATCCAGCCCTCCTGATCCATACAATCAACATCCATGCAATCCAGCAGTCTCTTGCACTGAAACTCTGCAGTGGATAAACAGGCACAGTTTCACATAGGTAACACTTTGATTTTGAGTCATGGCAACATAAATATAACATTCCTCATCCCTTTCCCATATCCAAGCAAAATTCCCTCTGCAGTCTCTCTGCAACAAATGCATCAGAGGAAGATTCTGTTTGTAAAACATACAGCAGAGCGCTGCATTACATAACAAAAACATATATCAACCCCACCTCAACCCTTTTCCACCAGTTATGGATCCCTGAGCAACTAATCTGCTGCATTTATTCATGTCATAAGATCTTAACTCCCTGAAATACTACAAATGCTAGTGAAATTAAGCTGTATTTACCCTCCTCTCTCGGGCATACTAACTCACAATGATGAAATCTATTTGAAACACTGATTTTTCCAGTGGAGTTCTTGTGATGTGAAATTAAATTTTGCATAAGCCTACAGAATATTCCTTCAAAAAGCTTATATTTTAAATGCAATTGAATGCATGACTTCAAAATTAAAATGCATGAAAACATATGTTCATTCCACTGCCAGAGGGTTTTGAGGATACCAGTCAAACCACACACTGAAAGCTAGGGCTGAATGATGTGGTGTGAATTTGCACTATGCAGTCAGTGCTTATTTTTGAGCATAGGAAATCAATCTGTACAATTTTCTTGTTTTTATTTTATAAAATTAATAGTTCAGACTTGCACAGCCTAGATAATATCTGTGAGCTATAAAGGCTACGAGGAGACTATGGCATTCTTGGTTTCCTACAAAATAAGGCTATTATAATGTGGCAGTCTTCCAATCTCTCCTTAAGAAATTCCAAAATAAAGTTCTATTTTAAACTGAAAAGTTCCATTTGACTGAATCTTCCAATATTTTACAAAATACCTTGCCCTTTTCTTTTCTTCTGCTGAGTTCTAAATTGGCATGCAAGCATACTGAATATTTTCCACTTACTTTGCATTTGCCCCTCATCCAAAAGCCCCAAATAGCTAATAAGAAAAATAACGCATATGAAATTTTCCTTTTTGACTTGCAGGGAAGTTGAGGCAGAGAACAGATGAGTTAGTTACCAAATCACATGGAAATCAGCAGCAGAGTTGAGAACAAATATTTGAGACGATTCAGAGTGGGGAAGAGACATTCAGGAGGAAATTCATCTTTCTGACAGCACTCAGACCACTCAAGGCATCCTCTCCCTCCAGTTGTCTCTGGTAAAGCTTCTGCTGAAGTCTTGTGTCCAGTTTAGGGCAACGCACTTCCAGAAAGATAACGGACTATTTGGAGAGAGTCCAAAGGAGAGATTCAAGGGCTAGAAAACCCAACCTGTGCGGTAAAATGAAAGAACTGGTTAGTATACAGAAGGGACAAATGTGATGAGACATGAGGATAACGTCTGCTCTCCATAACCACAACGGTCAGGTCAAGAAATAAAGGGCTTAAACTGCAGCAAGGTTACCCAATGAGAAAAATTATCTAACAACAAGATACTATGGTGCTGGAAAAGCCTAGGATGGAGCTTCCATCTTTCTGAACAAGTTAGACAAACTTCCATCAGGAATGGTGTGAGGGCATCTGCTCCTGCACCGAGACAGGAGGGAACTATGTTTTCCCTAAAGCTCTCTTCCCAGGCAGGTCCTCCAGCTCCAGCACTCGGAGGGTGCTAGGCCTCCTGCCACCAGTGCTAGGAGAGGTCAGTTCAGGCTGCAGAGCATCAGTATGAGCCAGTAAGCTTCAGGGATCCTAGCAAAGAGCCTTCACCCAGAGTACCCCCCCCCATCCTGGGAATATTTTTAGGGAAGTGCAGAACACAGATCTCCACACAGAGTGCCTTTCCTCTATAATTTAAACACCATTTCAGTGCACACTACTGAGCAGAGCTCAGGTCCTTTTATTTACATATAAAGATGTATTCAATTAAAGGGAAAGGCATATTTTGAAAGCATCCAAGTCACCATAGCAGTATGGTGTAATGTAACCACAGCAATATTGAGAGTCAGAGCATCATGCAAAGGTTTCCAGAACAGCAGCGTTAATTATTCCAGTAAATTTTTAGTCTCTGATCTGCAAGCTGCAGAGTTGACGACAAAATTATATTTTCACCTGTGACATTCCAAAGCTCTTTCCTGCCCAGTTTTCCTCAACATCCGCAGTGTTACTAAAAGAAAGCATGCCATTGGGTACAGCACTTAACATATTAGAAGCATGAACCACTACAAATTACTAGATACAAACTCTTCTTCTAGTAGTTCTCTTCAGGAAAAAAAAACACCAAAAGCTGAAGACAAAAGAGAAAAAAGCTTCATAGAGCATTTTTAATATGTAATCTGAACCAGCCAATTCAATTAAACAGGCACTTGGACTTAGATCGGTATAGAATGTTCTCAGAGTTTCATATGGAAAATGCTGATCAGATAAAACTGAACTGTTTCAAGAGAACGTATCCATTTTCTCAAAATATGACAAAAAACACCAAAGCCTTTCATTTCTACTTTGAAGTTCTTTTCCTTCCCTTGTATAACATAGTTGAAATGACAATATAATTTGTTCAAGATTTCCAATAGCACTTTTTTTTTTCCTTTCCAGAATTTTCATTCCATGGAAAAGTACATTCTGTCTCACAGTAAAGACGGTTTCAAATATTAAAATTTCCCAAGAAACGTAAACTCCATTTTACTCAGCGGTACTGGGAGAGACACAGAAGAGAAAAAAGATTCAAATTGAGTTTAAGTGAATGTCAGCTACTGATAACATAAGCAAAAACACATGATAATTACTTAGAAAAATAACTTTTCAGATAAGAGAATTCTTGCAGAATAAGGCAATCCAGGTTTGCAATCTTTGGTTTAAATGCAATGTGATATACTATCAAGATCTTTTGCTAATAATAACAGCTTTGAACTGTGAATCATGTGCAACTTGTTTCAAGACGCAGCTTCTGTCATTGAGTTCCAGTGGTTTATTTATGCAGTTGCCAGAGGGATATAAGCTCAAGATCCAGAAGCAGCAAAATGGGGTAGCTCACAGCATGTCATCATAACCTTACCAAATATATTAATCCAAAACAGGGTGGTGTGAAGAGAGATTCCTGTCCAGCCAGAACCCGAGAACTGATAGTTTAGAAGCCACGAATGTCCACGGCCTCCCTGTGAAAACTAACAGAAAGATAAGAGCTTTGCTTGATGGGCGGGAACACAAACGCAGTGATGAGGAGTATAACTTGCTGGAACTAAACAGTACTCACACTGCCTTTCTGTGTGTCCGCATTAAGATGAAAGAACTAACATTCTCCAGCTCTTACTGGATTACAATCTTCTCCTCTCTTGACAATGAGAAACCAGCACTGGAGCAAACCGTGGGGGTGCAAGGGAAACCGGGAACAGCAGGCAATAGCAAGAAGAACTGGCAAGGCGACTCTTGCAGGGACTGATGCTTATCTACACCACAGCACTAGATGGGCAGCGTTACACCACTGCTCCATACAACTTATTGAACTGGGAAACAACCCATATACTAGATACCACTTACTTCCACTGTTTTCTGAAAAGTACAGTCTAAAAGAAAATGAAACCAGCACCCCCAACAAGCTCGATAAATCCTCCAGACTTCAGCGCGTTACAGAGGCTGAGATACTGAGTTATACCTCGACTAGCAAGCCGTAATTAACCTTCCCATGAGGGAGAGTTATTCTCTTGCAGTTTAGTATTTCCAAGGTAAATGGAAATACCATTTGCAGGGCTCTCCATAGGATATAAAGGTTTTCCTCTACATGGCGCCTGCTTTCAGTGACAACTGTGCACGAGGTGTTACCATCCGATCACACTTTGGTGAGCCAAACTCAAGTGAAAAAGCATCTCTGCTCTCACTAACTCTGAAATGCACGCACAAAGCCAGCATCCCTTTTTAAGGTGAGACTTCCTTGCTCTCAGCAGTGGACAGGCTAGGAATTGATGGAAATTGAGAGCCCCTTCTCCCCAAAAAGCAGTCTGTCCTTCCAGGTTAACGTCCAGCACACGTACAGGGGCAGTCCACCCACCAGCAAAGTCCTTACCCAAGCCTGAAACATATAACCTGTGTAGGTGCAGTGTGGTTTAATGAAACAAAGTTTAGGAAGCACTTTAAGAGGCACCAATAGAAGGCGTGTGATGCATCAAGTGCAAGGTACACTAGCAGAGATATTATTACAATTTGGAAGTCTCTTTTCATCACTGCAATGTTTACTGCAACTTATTCCTAAGCTCCTCTGCCTCGTCATGTTTCTCCCATCTCCTGAGCTTCTATATTTAAGTTAAGTCAGAGGTTAATGCAAGTAAACTGAATGCAGGCAATAAAGGAAAAACGTGAGCTTTTTACAGTCATTGACTCACACTTCTGCCTGTGTTCCCTGCCCTGCCTAAGTAACAATTTAAGCAATTAAGTCATCGTTTTAAAACGGGTCCATGATACAAGTATTTCTCTTACCTCTCAAACTAAAAAGAAGTTATCTAAAGTCACCAGCTGGAATCAGACTTACTTCCCAGATCCTTTTCTGAACCAGGACAGGAAAAAAAAATCCCTTTTGATCCCCAGTTCCATATTTTTCAGCAGACATCAATGTCCAGCTTCACAAGTTCTGCTACTGAAAACAAAATTCAAGAACAAATTTTATAGCTGATCCTGCTTCCTTTGTTTCCTATGAACTGCAGCATGTTAGCGCCCTCTGAAAAATCAAAGAATCGCCTCCCCAGGTGATACTAAGAGCTCTTAACCATTTCCTGCCTGTGCCGGCAAGACTCCTCCCAACTGCTCCCCACTGCCATTCAAGCAGCAGGACACTATAATAAAAGAACTCCAGGTTTCAGAAACGAGCCCATGAGTCTTGACTTGCATATTTCTAAGAACTGATAGTGAACTTTCAAACAATCTCTTTGGCAGTATTTGATAAACTATTTCAACAGCGCGTCCAGCAACACAAAGAATAGTCTGTTCTCACCTTACTCAGCCGCCTTAAACAGTGAAGTTGCACAGTGCTGTCCTACTAAATAAACACTATTCCCTACCTGCCTTCTTCCTGTGGTGACAGACGATGGGACAATAACACCTGAAGAGAACAAGCCTGAAAAAATGGGCAGCAGCCAAAATATTTCCCAGTGAAAAAAGGTAAACAGACACAGGTTAAAAAGCTGTAGAGCTAGCCCCAGGCTGAAGTCACAAGAGCAAAGCGTGACAGCACCCGCCACGAGCTGCTAGCAGCACATTAGCTTGAACGCAGTGGCAAGGCCCTTTTTACCATTATCCAATCTGGAAGCTCCTCTAGGCATTAATTTTAGACACAGATTTAAGCTGAATTTCTACCAAAGGGTGGGTAAGTGAGGACCACAGGCCAGTTGTTCTCTCATTTCTGAGGTGTTAGAATTGCTGCAGATTCACATGGAAACCCAAGATTTAACCCATTTACCCATCTTTAATCTAACTGTGGGCAGAAGAGCACAAAATTAATTCCTGCGAGGGCACACCCGCGCTCACCCCGCCACAAAAAGAGAAAAGCTGCCTCTCCTCACAGCTTTACCCCCACCGGTTCCAAGGGGGAAACGGCACCTCCGCATCCTCACCTCGCCGGGGGCCCCTCGAAGGAGCCCTGCGGCGCAGCCCAGCACACGGCCGTTAGCT